AAAGATGAAGGAACATTTTGTACCAATATAATAAATTGTAAAATCCATTTTTGCACTATTCTGTATCCTGAGTGAATAGTGGAAGATGTATGTCACAATCAAAAGGACTGCGGAATTGGGTTAGGACAACTCAGGTGCTTTCACTAACTACTGAACTATGCACATCTAATGTTATTTTTCCAATATATATAAAATGTATTTTTCTTTCCTGACCAAGTTCTGAAACTGACCACACTTAGAGGCTAATATATGTTTTCCACTTTTTACTGGGAACAGAAGATACTAAAAGCTAAAGACATGGATTCTGTAATGAATTCTCCACAAAACTCTACAAAGAATTCATTAACATGACTTTTGACAACTTCAAAGAAAAGAGAGTAATGGTACTTCAGCTTGGGTTCATCATGACACTCTAGATCCTGTCTCAAACAGATTTCACCTCAATTCCAAAATTGCCATTAAGGGTATGATCGTTGCATTTAACAAAGTCTGAAAGACTTTAATAGAGACTTGCTTCTCATAATATACACCTCACTGTATTAAGAATCTTCAATACAGACCAGTAATAAATAATGAATACAGTTCGTTTACTTTCTTTACAGGATTATTAGGTTGGGAGGTGTGTCCATAAATAAAAAAAGGATTTTATACAAAAAAAAAATGATATAAGAATACAGTCTCATGACCCAAATAAAGACAGAAAAAATTATGTAGGCTAAATAGGAATGTAGAGACATTTCCCCAAAAGTACCTGTTTATGGCTACTAAAAAACTTAACAAAGAGCTGAATTCTGTCCTGCCCTATGAATAAAGAAAACCAGAAACTTGATTAAAAATAAAGAAAATCTATATTAACAAAATGCTAAAATAGAAAGTGAGAACTAAATGAATTTTAAAAACAAAACTGAAAAGCTGAAAGCATTGATTCTAAGAAAAAAGATTAAGGACTAATGTGAGGGCCTTAATGATTTTAAATACAAAGACAGCAATGGGGCTAATTAATAACACATATAACAAATTCAGAGCAGCTTCAAGTCACGTTGTGGACACTGAGAGAATACCCAAGAAAACCAGTGGAGAGTCTAAGATGAAGAAATGCTAATTCTGTCTGTATCTGTTCTTACTAACCCTTTTTATCGCCACTAAATCTCAGGCCACACGGGTTAAAAAAAACTCTATGGAATTGTATGCAGCTGAGAGGCTGCTACATACTTGGTGTGTTTAGGCTAATGAAGGACCTGGAAAGCAGCTCAAAGCCCTGTAGGATTTTACTAAGAAAATATTTAGACCTGCAGACAACTTAAATATTGAAATATACACAAAGTCAGATTTCATATTTGAACTCTCAAGAGAACCAAGATTAATACATAAAACTAAGTTAGCAAACTCCTGCTGGATTTCAAATTAGTTTTTAATTACCTCTTTACAAATCAGAATAGAAGGCAAGATCTGAAGTAACTGTGGGAGCTCACAGGGAAGATTTAGACATGATAGCTTAAGTTCTAACCACAGCTGAGCTGGGGCTCACGGGATGGAAGACAAGATCTTTCACTCGCTTACAGACAATGTATCTCACAGGGCACTATCAACTATACAGTTCATATTGACAGAAGCACCATTATGCAGTTCAGGCCTCTATAAGATAGTCTAAAGGATTCTAGCCAGTATTCATAAGATTTGCTCATCAACACTTTACTGAGCCGGACTGTCAAGCAACACATTAGACCTGAAATGTTTACACAGTGTTACATAGCAATTTCCTCCAAGAGAGAACATTTTATCTTGGTGAGAAGCTCCTTGAGACACAGGATGTTCTTTCTTAATGGAGGTAAAACATTCCAAACTGCAGGGAAGTGCCTTAAATCTCATGACATAAACAAGTTAACCTTCAGGAAATCCCTAGAAGTGACCAGACTCCTGGCCCACCCTTACGCCCCATCAATCTTGCAGAAGTACTGCTGAGACACTCTCACATAAGACAAGTGACCTGAAGTGCTGACCAGCAGCTGTCTGAGATGCTCACATCAGCTGAGCTCCTAAAAGAGGAACTCTAATGCAGCGCTTCTCAGCTTTCCTGATGCTGTGACCCCCGACCATAAAATTATTCCTGTCACTACTTCATAACTGTGATTTCGCTCCTGTTATGAATCAAATGTAAATATCTATGTTTCCAATGTTTTTAGGTGGTGCCTATGAAAGGGTCACTTGACCCCCAGGTTGAGAATTACTGCTCTATCACGGGGCAGTGTTGTGTAATAGCTTTCTCCAAATGTTACATCCTGCAGGGACCCTTTACATAGGAAAGCAACTCTTGATAGCTTCGGGAACTCCTCAAAACTGACCACTCACTAGGACTCTCACTCATAAGCTATAAGAAATGAGTCCCCCACCCCCTCGGAAGGAAGGAAGCTAAAGTGCAAAGACTCTAAGAGGAGAAAAGTTGCAAAGGTGACTAAGAGCAGACCAACCGCCTGGAAGAGGTTAGACCAATGAGATACCTGGAAAAGACACTCTCCAATCTGCTGAGCTGCCCTCGGGCTGTGCACTGTGCTCCAGGTTCCTAGTTCTGTGAGCTGCCACCCATGTGAGATGAGACACTGTCTCTGTGTCATTTTTACTCCTGTAAGTGGTAATGCCTTATCTCAGATCCTGTGAGTAACTCTAGTTACCAGTTACCATCAAGTTCAACTTTGGTGGTATGCATACTTTGGTCGGCCATTGTTCCGCTATCTGGGGACACTATTTATAGTGTCACACAATATACAGTATCCAAAGGCTTGACAGCTACTCACCTGTCTTGTAACTGTGATTTCATCATGAGCTTCAAATCCTAAAGGACTTTGCTTTTTGTCAGAATTATCAAAAGTGATTGAAACGGAGGCTTTGGTAATTCCAGCCTGCCCATTCTTATAAACTAGATCTTGTAAATTAGAAGCCCGCACCTATAATTAAAGAAGGAAAGTTCACTGACCAAACTTCATATTCTACAACAGCAGCATTAAAATATGTCTTGCTTTGAAAAACCCACCTGTGTAGTGGTAAGTAAAAAAGAGGCGGTCACATCCATCCATCAGCAAGAAAAACAAGGACTACGGACAATAACCTATTATCAGTACCTTCTACATTCTATTCTGAATTGATCTAACTTGAAAAACTCAAGGGAGAGGTATGAACTTTACTAGGCACCCCATCCATTAGTACACCCCAAAAGGCACTGTAAGGCAGAAGAGCAGGTACAGACTCTGAACCGAGACAACACTGAAATAACACTGCTTGGTGGGGGCATTACTCCCAACAGTTTAAGAGGGGGAAACTGAGGCATGGTCTCACAGTTTCTGTTTTTTCATCTAAAGGATAGGGTAATCAAAATCTCTGCTTAAATGGATGCAATGCAATATAAACTAATTTACGTGAAGCACAAGCATGCAAATGAGGTCTACAAAGAGTAAAAAAAAAAACAGGCAAATGTAGTCTCCAAAGAGTGACAAAGTTACCCTTGGACAAATGTTTATGTAATCAGAAAGTTTATACTGTACCTGAGACAGGTTGGAGATGCCTAGGAGAAAGCAGATGGAGTCCAAAATATTGGATTTTCCACTGCCGTTTAAACCAGTGATAGCATTGAAGAGGGGGTCAAAACCATTGACTTCAGTCCTTTGTGCATAGGACTTGAATCCTTCGAGAATGATTGATTTGACATACATTATTCTACACTGTCTTGGGCTCGTAAGCCTCTGTTGGGCAACAAGAGACAAGCGAGGTCTGTGTAAAACAGAAATAACATCACTCAAGTATACGTTAAAAAAAACACACAAAAACAAACCAAATCACAATAAATATCACAGGAATGTAGAGCACCGGAAAAATACACTTGCCAAGCTACTTTTAATTCTAAAAACAGCTTCCTCGAATTTAAAATTATCAAGCAGTTGGCCACCGTTTGAAGCTAAACCATCCAGCCTGGAAGGCACCATCTCTTTATTACTGCTGCCCACTTTCCTAGGCTCGTGTTGACTGTAAACACTGTAGTTAATAAAGACTGTTGGTTATTTCACATTTAATTCTCCTTCTTACAAGCGCGCCTTTCTGGTACTGGAATGGATACCCCTCTTTACCGCTCCTTCCTTTTTCCTCCGTGGCAGTAAAAGATGACACTAAGCACCGTTTATCTGTCTATCCAAGTCACCCTAAATCCCGCTATGCTCTTTGCCTACACACATCCGTGAATCTCTCTCTGAACAAGACTTTCAGGACCCGGGTAGTTAGCGGACCTTAAGGACGAAGTGGATCCGTTCTACAGTCTCTTTTTAAACATTCAGTGGTTTCTCGCGTCCCCGAGTACTTGTTGATCCGCCTTACGGATGAACAAGAGTCAACATCTCTATCTAATCAGCGCTTGAGGTCCCTCCTTGAACCTGACCCTTCCCGCGCCCCGTCTCCCGCCGGCACACCGGCTTGTGGCCGGGCCAAGGGACGCACTACGCACCCGCCACAGAGCCGCCCGGGCCTGGGAAACCAGTGCAGGTCCCTCACAGAGAGAAGGCGGAGAGCGAGACCACCCGACCCGAATCGGGTCGCTACCGGGCGAACGCCAGCATCCCCAGCACAGCGTCCGCCGCAGCCCAACCACCGTGCCGGAACTGTTCCTTTGAATTTCGGCGCGAGGGAAGGACCCCGCCTCCGAGGCGTCTCGCCTCTGTTGGTGCCCAGTATCTGCCTGACGGATGCGCTTCATCTTTCGACCCCAGGAAAAATACGGAAACAACGTGGCGATAGTAAATGGTGTTCTCGGCAGTGGAGGGCAGGGGCTATAATGCTGTGGGCATGGAAAGTGCAAATGAAGACGGGTCGTTCTCACATCCGCGTCAGGCACGCTCTAGGCAGCATCTCTTCCTGGTCTGGGCCTCGCGCGGCTCCAGTCCCGCCCACGTTCTGGCCCTTTCCGGCCAGCGGCTTCTGTCCTCGGGCTCCGCCTCCTCCAGGTTGATTTTCTGGGAGGTTACAGTGTAGAAACCCAGGCTGTCCGGAGGTATCTTCTGCGGCTTCTTTTCTCCGGGTTGCTGAGATTCCTGGAACGTGGAGACAGTAATTAGTCGAATAGGAAGGCTCTGGCTTTGGGGACACAAATCTCACGTTTCCAGAGGCGATTCTTTGCCTGCAATAACGGGAAGTTGGGTAGCAGGTGCTGGGCAGATGACTGTACGATTCCTTATGCCATGAAGCTGTTTAATGATAAGCAATGGCTGACCTACCGGTTCAGGAAAGTTTGCTGAAGCTTCTTAGGAAAGTTGATATTTACAGAATTCTATGTACTGGATAGCAGCGTTCCAAAGGCTGTCAAAAATTCCTCCACAAACATAGAAGCCTAGTGTTCTCGTTTGTTTTCGCTTCGTTTTGTACGGTTAAATACTTTGAATCACTAGGCTAAACGACTTATAAGTGAAAACACAGATTTTGTTCCCAGGCAGCCTAACGACAGAGCATGTGCCCCTAAAGCATTATCTACAATTGCTAATTTTACAGTGCTGGTAATAGATGACCCAGTCAGCAGTGTGTAGTGTTTTTAACAACAGCAGGGTTTTAGGGTTAATTATACCTGAGCATCGATGCTAATTTGAGAAGGGCCTGGCTTTGTTATTTTTATTGAAAACATGTTTTCATACCGTATATTATGACTCGTTTTCTCCTTCCCCAGCTCCTCCCAGACCTTCACCCAAATCCACACCCTTTCTTTTCTCCCTCAGTAGAATACAAATAGGATCTTAAAATAATAATGCTGATAGTGATGATAATAAAATGGTGAAAACAAACCAGAATAGGATAAAATAATCAGGAAAAAGAGAACCATACATACGTGGAGACACATTCACACACACACACACACACACACACACACACACACACACACACACACCCGAGAGAGAGAGAGAGAGAGAGAGAGAGAGAGAGAGAGAAGCAGAAACCATAATATATAAAGAAAGGTCTGTAAGGTTAAAATAATTGTTCCAACAAACAGTGTGAAACAGACCCCTTTAATAATGCCACTGCATTTGTTTTGTGTTGGTCATTTACATGGGGTCTGCCCTACTGTGTGGCTTGTATACCCAGTGAGACTTCACTGAAGAAACGATGTCCTTTGCAGATAGCTGTGATAGCTTCTGGGTTAGGAATGGGGGATTGTTTCTTCTGTACCTCTCAACCCTGGGACCCCATCTGGCGTAGACCTTTGCAAGCCCTGTGCATGCTGCCCTAGTCTCTGGGAGTTCATAAGTGCACAAGTCCCGTTCCGTCTCTTTTCCTAGGTGTCTTCCCTCCTCACTGGCTCGGAGGATCTTTCTGCTTTTTCTTCTGCAGAGGTCCCTGAGCCCTGAGGAGAGGGATTTGATGGAGACATTCCGTTTGGGACTGAGTCTTCCGAGGTCTCTGCTGTGCACATTGTCCAGTTGTGAGTCTGTATTTGTTCCCAGCTGCGTGAGGATGCTTCTCTGATGATGGCTGAGCAATATGCTCATCCATGAGTATGAGCTTTGTTGTTGCTACATTCCTTTAGCAGAATAGTAATATTAGAGTTTCCTCTAGATCCATTTTTTATCTAGTCTAAGGTTCTTGGCCACGCAGGCAATGTCAGGAATGGATTCCCTCTCATGGAGTGGGCTTTAGTTCCAATCTGATAGTGGTTGGTTATTCCCACAACTCTTCTACTACTACTGTACCAGCTAGCTTCGAGGCAAATTTTGTAGCTGCGTTGGTGTTTACCTTTCTGACCTTGTACTGTGCAGAGTGTCTTCCTACACCACGAATACTATTCAGCAGGGCCGACGGCTCTAGGTAGGCATCAGTTGGACTTCTCTGTGCTTGCTGAGTTGTGTAGGTGTAGGTTAATATTTGGGCCTTACCATCAGTTTGTAGAGCGCAACCAATGTCCAGTGTGGCTTGGGTATTTTTATAGGGTGCCTTTGGCCAACTTCTCCATTCAGTGCAACCCATTCCCAGCACTAGAGGTTTCATTTGTTGGTGAGAGATGTCTGATTGGTGCTTTGTCTCCCCCATTAGTAGGTGATTTCAATTTAGATATCTTAAATATGTGTATTTATTTTATTCTTTAATCTCAGCACTCAGGAAGCAGAGACAAGAGGATCTTTGTGAATTTGAGGCCAGCCTGGTCTACAGAGCAAGTGTTCCAGGACAGGCTCCAAAGCTACAGAGAGACCCTGTCTCAAAAAAAAAAAAAAAAAAAAAAAAAAAAGGAGGAGGAAGTAGCAGCTTCTAATGTATTTATTGGCTTTCCCAATACCCTCAAATGGTCCTGTGTTTTAACTGTCCTACCCCATGTTCCTCCCTTATGTCCTTTTTCTTGCTTCTTGCTTTGTCCCTGTTTGGTCCCCCTGTTCCAGTGTTCCACCACCCACCTCCATCCATTACTATCTGTTCTATTTTTCTTTCCAGGAGCAATGCTTCCCTCGTGTATTCACTTACTCTATACTTAACCTCTGTGGCTTATATGAATTGTATCTTTGTTGAGAACTTAACAGCTAACATACACATATAAGAGAATACATACCATATTGGTCTTTTTGGTTCAGGGTTACCTCACTTAGGATGATTTTGTTTAGCTCCATCCATTTACCTGCCAAATTCATGATTTCACTTTTTTAAAACAGCTCATTCATACTCCATTGTGTAAAGAAAGGTACCACATTTTTTATCCATTATCAGCTGATGAGCATCTAGGGTGTGTCCCATCCCTGGCTACTATGACTAGAGCAGCAGTGAACACAGGTGAACTGGACTAGTAGTTAGTGCTTACATTTGGCTTATGGATGCCTTGTTTTCTTCATCTGTAGGAGATGAAAGTTTTGTTGGGTACAGTAGTCTGGGCTGGTATTTGTGGTCTCTTAGAGTCTGCATCACATCTGTCCAGACCCTTCCAGCTTTTAGAGTCTCCATTGGGAAGTTTAGTATAATTTTAATAGGTCTGCCTTTGTATGTTTCTTGGTCTTTTTCCATTGAAGCTTTTACTATTTTTTTTTCCTTTGTATTTGGTGTTTTGACTATTATCTTCCTGGGGGACTTTCTTTTCTGGTCCAGTCTGTTTGGTGTTTTGTATACTTCTTATAACTCGAAAGGCTTTTTCTTTATGTTAGGGAAATTTTCTTCTATGATTTTGTTGAAAATATTTTATGTGTCTTGGACTTTGAAAGACCCGGATAAATCCAGACTCCTCTGGCAGGAAGAATAGAGCCAAAAATCTAGCAGGAAGAGAAGAGCCAAAAATCTAAGTTAGCCAGTTCAGTAACTCTGTTTCAGAAACTAGCTGACCATAAAGTTAGATTATGATCTTGAGAAATGGGGAGTTATCCCTTTGTGATTATTACTGGTATCTTCAGAATTTTCCAATGATGCCCTCCCTACCCCCTTTGTCTTGTGGTTTCTTCCCCTAAATACCCCTTCTTCCAGCTACTCAGGGTCTTCTGCTGTTTTGAAACACCATGACCAAAAGCAACTTGGGGAGGAAAAATTTATTTCACTTATATTTCTATATCCTAGTTCATCATCAGAGGCAGTCAGGGCAGGAACTCAAATAGGGCAGGAACCTGGAGACAGGCGCTAATGCAAAGGCAACAGAGTACTGTTTAATGGTATGCTTGTGGCTTGTCCAGCCTGCCTTCTTCTACAGTGGGATTGGTCCTCTCATAGCAATTGTAATCTCAGGCTTACCTCATTAGCTGTCTTAATCCTCACCCTTCCCTCGTATGGGACAAATAAGTTGCGTAGGACCCTGAGAATGATCAACCTAGTGTGGGCAACACTCCCTGGTTGTGATCACTGGCTGTGTGTGTTCTAGAAAAGACAGAGGGGGTCGGGGAGGGCCTTGGACTTCCCACAAGGCAGGGTACCCTGCTCTCTCTTAGGGGGAAGGCAAAAGACTTCCTGACAGCATACAAAGAACAAAGAAAGTAATTTCCTCCTCACATCTCAAAATATCAAGTAACCACACCCTAGATCAACATATCCTTTTGTCTAGGCAAGACATCCCTATAGCCACATTTTACATCAAGCATCTCCTCATATAACCTTGAAGTAGCAAGAATAGGTCTGAACTCTGTGCCCCTTAGTCAAGGTGGAATGAATTTACTTCTATGGGCCTCCACAGGTCATCCCACTTCCTCTGAAAGTAATCAAGATAATTCCCCGTTCGCATCCCTAGAGTTCACCTGTGAGTACATTGTCATCGGTGGTCTTGCCTTGTTAGTGTGGGCCCATATTTCATATAAAATAATTTGTAGGCAGGCTCACTGGCCACTAGGCAGATGCAGCCCTGCCAAACAAGTAAGACAGCGGCCTAACAAAGGCCAGGATGTATTGAAAATCTAGAATCCAGCCACTTCCTTTCAGAATTATGGCTGATGAATGTCTGTTGAGTGGGCAAGCAACTTTATAAACATACACATAAGGATGCCCATTCTTTCCACGCCACAGAGCACCGATTTCTGTAGGCAGAGTCTTCCTGTGCTGGCAGCTGTTCTCGAATAACCACTCAGAGTCTTGGTATTAATTATAAATTCTCAGTCGATAGCTCAGGCTTGTTATTAACCACCTCATACAACTTTAATTAATCCATTTCTGTTCATTCATGTGCTGCCCCAAGGCTCTTGGCATTTACCTCTCCAGCATGTCTTGCTTACTGTATGTCAGCTCCCCCGACTCTGCTGTTCTTCCTGCCAGCATTCTCTCTGTGTCTCACAGAATCTCTTCCTGCCTAGCTATCAGCCAGTCAGCTCTTTTTAACAATGAGACCAAAACAAATTGCAGTGTACAAAGATTGTTCCATAATATGTTCCCTCTTCCTATTTTTCAGATAATAGTTGGCTGGTTTCCTTTCTTCCCATATTTAAATTTCTTAATGATTATCTCCGCACTTCATCAAAAAATGAAGTGTGTGGAAAGTTAGAAGTCTTGTTGATCACTGCTTCCCCTCTTTTTCTCATCCTGACCTTATCTAAATACAAATTTCTGTTTCATTTCCACCCAGCTGTGGGTGGATGACAGACTGGGAGTCCCTACTCTTCTGGTTTTTGCCTTTAAACCTCTACTCTCCTTATCCATAAAGAAGGTGGTTTTGCCCTTAGGACTTTAATGGTCTTCAGAACATCAGTGGATGTCATCAATACATTTTCTTGGAGTCTGAGTTTTCTTTTTTCTTAAATATATGCCTGCCATTTATATGACATAGTACACATATAGTTCAGGTGAGGTGTCAGCTCATCACCTAGTTCTTATATCACTTTTGAATAGTTAATCGTGTCTCTATTCTTTCTGCCACTTTAAGGCATTCTCTTCTAATCCTCCTTGGGCTATTGCTTGGAGGAAAACAAGTTTTTAATGAAAATAAGTAATAATGTACAGACCTAGTATGACCTAGGTACACATAAAAGTCAATACATTCTGATTTGAAGAAGGCAATTTACCTATTTGCCTGCATGTGTAAATCACTTGTTTTGCAACCAGCACACTGTTATAAATGCTGTGAAATTAAATACCTGTTTAGCTAATTCTTATAAGAGTAAAATCTTTTTGAGGCTGAAAGTTAAAATTTTCACACTTTAGGATAAAGAATGAAGTTTGCGTTTTTAAACATTTTTCCCTTGTTGTCCATCTTTGGGAAATTTAAATAACATAATTTTTAGGTTTAGATTGTTTGAGATTATTATTTTTATAGCAAATTTATTGTTTAAACTCTTGACTTATGCTTCACTCAGTCCCATTCACTTTCCCTAAACTACTACATGAAGCACTATTTTATTGTTCTCGTCTCTGTTTTATTGATGAGGGAGTGAAGTCTCTGATCTAGACTTTGAATACAAAGCATTGCCAAGACTAAAAGTCCACCCATTTACACACAAAGTACCTGAAACCTTACATTGTCAGTGAACCCTGACAATGTCTGCCACATACATTTACATCCTAGTGACTATCAGTTCCTATTGATTTAAAGCACAGTTGCTTGCAGTAATATCAGGCTACCCTTGCCGTGGTTATTAGCTTTAACACTTGAAGCTCTTCCCATGTGACTACCAAAGACCTCAAGTCATTGAAGCCCCAACTGGTTTGGTTCACCAGCTGGTCAGGTATTTCCAATCTAGTATGTTTTTATAGTTGGTGCTCAGGCTTCAGACAAGAATATAAAATTGAAATCATTGTAAATACTATAGAATTCTTATTGTAAAAGAAGTGTTCATTAAGGATAAAAACCAGAACAAGTTAATAGACCGCTTTACAAATCTTTAGAGAAACCCAGTTGAATGTAGTCTCTGTAGCAGTGCTGATCACGGGAGAGAAGAGGAGCTATTCCTATTAGTGCTGGTTGGTGGCATCTTTTTACACAAAGATATGTTGTCAACAATTCTGCTTGGAAGACTAATTCGGAGTAATTTTTATTTTGTATATTTTATGAGTTAATGGGATCTAGGAGAATAATAACCTGGTGAGAATTTCTCTGCAAATGGCAATGAAATTAGTCTTATTCATGAAACTCATAAATAAGCTATAATTCAGCATTTTTTATCGAGGGAAACTAAACCAGGGGTCATGCTGTTTAAGAGGCTAAGGGAATTAAACAGAACACTGGGGATCCATAGCAGATTTATGATGAAGATACATTCTAACGGGAAGCTTAATTGTGGTTTAAATTACAGGTCAGGCTGTGCAGTGTGTTTGCTGTTTAGAGGAAGATCTTCGGGGAGATGCAGCCTGCCTGTTTAAAGAGGAAGCAGGAAGCAAATGAGAAAACAGATTGCGGTTGCTGCTTTTCCTTTGAAATTTCAAGCTGCTCTAAGTCAAATCACCCCTGAGTTTCTAATGGTGCCTCTTGTGAAGGTGCCTTGTTTTACTTCATTTTTCCACAACAGTTATTTCGCCTGACAGCAGCAAAAATGATGTTGGCAGCAAGCTAATGTGGTGACCACAGATAAGGTATTCTTAGCCGTTCTAGGACCCTGACGGCCTATCATTTCAGGCTGACTCACGCAAAATGAGCAAGTTCTACAGATGGAAGGGCCTTGGAAGAATTAGAGCCAGTCATTTCCACAAATGGGGAAATTAAGGCTTCTGGTGATTTCCCCAAATTTACTTTTTATCTCAAGTAACTTCAGGTCTAATGAGGCAGTAAAACTTGTGTACAAATAATTTTAATTGTAAGTGTGAAGAAAGCGCTTTCCTAGAAAATAAAGCTTAAACAACCCAAGGTTGACTCTATAGGAAGGGTTTAGGATAGGAAAAGGAAGCATAGCAGCCCAGACTTAATGCCTAGTGTTACCGTCTTCCTGGTAAAGGTGTTCGATAGTTGATACCTTGACCACAGTGCGACCATGGCTAGGGATTAAGACAATGATGGCAGACTAAAAGTCTGAGAAGGAATTGAAATATCTGTCCTGCTTAAGGCACTGAGTAAAGAGTAAGACTAAGCATGCCTTTGCTAAAGCTTTGTGACTAATAGCCAGGAGCAGTTAGTAGAAAAGGATGAAAGAGGAGAATTTAGTGTATGAGACACTGTTTTTATCAGTTGGCAAGATCATCTGGGATGTGTAGGTTTAGTGTTATCTGTGTAGGACCCCAGAAAACACATAAGACATAGAATGTTCTTATTTGTTCCTTAAGTTATTACCTTGCTCCAGTCTGTCTTCTGTTCTGGTTTCTTTCTCATTAACTGAGGAGCCGTCAGCTTTACCATCGAGCCATTCCTCATACAAAACAGACATCTGAAATGGGATTAGGATAGAACACAGGAATGTCCACAAGAAGAAGTTTCCTGGTATGGTTTTCCTAGGTGAGAGGTGAGCTATATCTGTATGAGAGGTATGTTTTCTAGCTGGAGACAGAAATAGCAGTCAGACCTACACATCATGGTAGACAAAAACTGAAGTAGTAGTTTTAATAGAAAATGATGTGGCATTGAATGGCCTGCCCATCATATTATTAGAAATTTATCATGTGGGGGAGATGAAAATGTCTGCTGTGCAGGTATGAGCACCTGAGCTAAGATCTCCAGGACCCATGTAAAAGGTCAGATTCCGTGGTATGTGTTACTCTGGTGCCAGGGGATGGAGTCAAGAGTATCCCAGGGGCTTGTTGACCAGCCAGTCTAGTAGAAACAGCAAGGTCTAAGTTGACTGAGAGACATATTCTCAGAATATAATTTACAGGGCGATAGACAATATTACTCAGTGTTAATCTTTGTCACTGCCATGTGTACACATGTAACCATAAATACATGTATATACACATTTAAAAAATTATAAAATAGAAAAAGAATTTTATATTACTTATGCAATAGAAGCTGTGGTATAGCATTTAGAAACCCTGCTGGGAAGGGTTCCTTCAAGTTGAACATGTATCAGCTACTGACACCTGACTACTGAATCTCTGCCTTCACAGAGAGATGCTGTCCAGCTGGGACTTTCCCCTGCTCCTCTGTGGTGATCTGTATCCGAGACTATTTGATGTCGGCATGGAAAAGCCCTGCTTCTCCCACTGCAATATTCAAGCATCCTATGAATAGCCCCTATCCCCATCAGGTGAGGCCTTCGTTCTGACTGCATCACAGGTCAAATTCTCCTGCTGACTAATTGTATCTTCTTCACAGGGGCACAAACGTTTTGGACAGCTTTCCCTAAAAAACTTTCTGAATAAAATTTTCTTATCAAGTCTTTACCCCGAGGAAATTATCAAAGACAGCTCCATATGTAATTTGGGAGACAATTTTAACATAATTCAATGTAAGTTTGGAAAGCCTGAGGAGTGCATATGATTCATACATTAGAAGCGTTATATGGTCTCTATGGTAACAATTTGGCATCCCAACTTCTGTGTTGAATTGCTAAAGCAATTTAGATTCCACTGATAAAGAATTATAATGGAGAGAAATTGTACCTTAGCTGTGATTTGTCTGCTATCAAGCTTTGCCAAACTCATCAATCAATTGTGGTCACCAAGTGTATCAGCAAGGGTATTTCAGGAAGTGCTGCACAGGGCAGGGATGGGGGAGGGATGCAGATGACTACATATTAAGGCCTTAAAGGGTAACGATCATTTGTTTTCTCTTGATGCTACATTTCTGTTTCACGTCATAAGAGGGCAAAGGCCTTTCCAGTTAAACACTAAAGAAGCAGGGCTCATGGATTAGCCACCAAGGATCCTATGCATCTGCCATAGGGAACAGAAATTCTGGGAGGCTTTTGAACCAGAAGTTAAATGCTCCATCCAGTGTGACACACATTACTCAACTTGTAATTCACTCTAACTGTTCATAACATGGAGCTTAAAAATCCAAATCCCATATGTGCCTGGATGGGAGGGGGCTAAAGCTGGAGTTCTGGCAGATTGTTGGAAAACAGAAAATTCTAAAAACTGAAAAATTGAGGTGAAATTAGGGCAAGCAGGTAGGTGAATTAGATAAGTAAACAGGAGGTTAGTAATAAATAACCACGGATGTTTTCATATCAATTGAATCATATTTGTATTTTTGAACTTGTACTATAAATTTGTATTATGTACTTTTTATTTACAAAATGCTATACTTTCAGAATATGACTTTGAAGAATCCCTACACTGTTTAAAGATATTTACATCTAGTTGGAGATATGCTTATTCAAAATATATATGGCAGGGAATAAAGAGTGATTGGTAGTGGGCAGTGTTCAATGAGAAAAATGTGGGAATAGCTAGAGATCATAAAGTTATACATCTCACAGATATACTTGAAAGTTCCCTTTAATCTGAGCTATAAGAAGAGTAGATTTAAAGAGACAAATATTGCCTTATTGTTTTTAAATTCACTTGTTTTTCATTTTCTATTTTTCCATTTAATAAATTTCTATTTAAATTTTTGTGATTAGAAAAATAATTGTAAATTGAGAGCTAATATCATTCTCCTTGAGGTTAACAACTTGCTTTTTTGGTATTCTGTACAATCAGCTTCTAGCTAATGAGGATTTATGGTGATAATTATAATAAATTGTTCCTTTAATGCCTCTTATAGCTTGTAAAACAAGTTTACACATACTATTAATGTTATTTCCTCAATATGGCTAGATGTAAGATGAGTTCAGGGGGCTTAGAAAATATTCTCATATAATAGATCAAGAAATCGAGAGGGAGAGAATTAATATCTTTAAATTATTGTTGCAGCTATTTTGCATCTGTAAACAGTCTACCCTAAAACAATTGCTTAACACAATAATTCATTTATTTTGCTCACTGGAGGTTTGCCTTGGCTCAATGAATCTTTTTTTCACCATATATTTTCATTATTTTTTTCCCTCCCCAGCTCCTTCAGGTTCTCCCGTTTACCTTGATATTTTTCTCTCTTTCAAAATAAACAAACATAGTTGAGCATATGCTTTTGTTGTATGATAGGGCCTCTCTTGGGTATATTCCCAAGAGTGGTATTGCTGGGTCCAGGGGTAGGTTGATCCCGAATTTCCTGAGAAACCGCCACACTGCTTTCCAGAGTGGTTGCACAAGTTTGCATTCCCACCAGCAATGGATGAGGGTACCCCTTTCTCCACAACCTCTCCAACAAAGGCTATCATTGGTGTTTTTTATTTTAGCGTTTCTGACAGGTGTAAGATGGTATCTTAAAGTTGTCTTGATTTGCATTTCCCTGATTGCTAAGGAAGTTGAACTTCCTTAGTTTTGGCCATTTGAACTTCCTCTGCTGAGAATTCTCTGTTCAGTTCAGTGCCCCATTTTTTAATTGGGTTAATTAGCCTTCTACGGTCTAGTTTCAGACCCAGCTGGCCTGGGTCTGAAAAAGCATGGGATAAACCGGACTTGCTGAACATAACGGACAATGAGGACTACTGAGAACTCAAGAACAATGGCAATGGGTTTTTGATCCTACTGCACGTACTGGCTTTTGGGGGAGCCTAGGCAGTTTGGATGATCACTTTACTAGACCTGGATGGAGGTGGGTGGTCCTTGGACTTCCCACATTTCAGGGAACCCTGATTGCTCTTCGAGCTGATGTGGGAGGGGGACTTGATCGGGGAAGGGGGAGCGAAATGGGAGGCGGTGGCGGGGAGGAGGCAGAAATCTTTAATAAATAAATAAATAAATAAATAAAATAAACAAACAACAACAGAAAACTAACAACCAACCAAACCAAACAAAATCCAAACCCCTACAATAAATCACACACACACACACACACACACACACACGCCAAAATGAAAACTACTCCTAAGCATGAAGCCTACCCTGAGGTATGGTTGATAAACGCAGTGTCACTCTATTATAGAAAACAGATTTTTCTCTCCCCTAGTAGCGGTCAATTTCAAGTAGCTTCTTGGCTAGGATTGGGGCTTATGCCAACTTCCTTTTCTCCATGCTGGGATTTTGTCTGGCTTGAACTTGTGAAGGTCTTGTGCATGCTGTCCCAGTTTGCATGTGCCTCAGCTCTGGTCTGTCTGAAAACTGCTGTTTCCCTGGAGTTGTCTACCACCTCTGACTCTTACAATCTTCTCACCTCGCCTTCTGCCTTGTTCCCTGAGCCTTGAGGGGAAGAGTGTGATGAAGACACCCCATTTAGTGCTGAGTGCTCCAGGGTCTCTCACTTCTGCACATCGTGCAGTTGTGGGTCTCTATGTTAATTATCATTTACTGCAAAAAAAGTCTTCTCTGATGGCTCAACAATGCAGTGCTTTTTGGGTGTAGTAATTTGTCATTAGGAGTCACTTTTATTGTTATGTTCAATTAGCAGAAGGAGGGGTAGAACCCTAGGGCCTGGGCATGACTCTTGGCCTCATTAATTGTGTCATGTATGGATTACGTCCCACAGAACAAGCCTTGAATCTAATTTAAAAAGTGTTTGGATACTTCTGTAACATTTGTGTCCCTATTACACTAATGGGCATATCTTATAAGCCAATTGCTATTGTAATTCGAAGGGTCCATAGCTGAATGAAATTGTTGATTACTTTTCTCCTCAGTGGTGACTTGACTTTCAGGATAAAGAAGGTAATCATTCTCATTAACAACAGCCTGTATTGTTTGGGGGGACAGTCTATAGAACCCTTTGGTCAAAAACTCAGAAAAATGTAACCCATTTCTGTCACTGTGGGCTTTATGTGGTAACATATGATGTCCAGTTGGAGTAATTTCTTTGCCATTCCTTAGGAATGGGCACTTATACAATTTCAACTTCATATTGGTTGGAATTTGCTGTACGAATTCCTACCACCAGTAGCCTTGAAGTTACCCACCCACTTGGGCATGGTTTCTTATACTATTTATACCCATGTAAAGCATGCCTCAGGCCTCTTTTCTGGATGCAGGATATGATTGCTGTTCCCCGTTCCAGCAGAGGACTGTGATCTGTGAGTCTACACCTAAATAAATAACACTCTATTATACTCAATTCTGAGCTACTGTGGGATTTCTTTTAAGTGTCGTTCTTCAGGAATTGAGAAGACTTTATTTACACATTTAGTGGTTGCTCAAGGAAAATGCAAACATTTGGGAACTAAGAACAGATAGAGTTCTTCAGATACGGGTTTCCTTAAGGTCTCATTACTTGCTATGCTTCCATGGCTGCTACTTGGAAGTTAAATTTCTCACATAGTATCAAAAGGCTTTCAGAATGAATGTCCCAAGAGCAAATACCAGAAGCCACATGTCCTAGTCTCAAAGTCATACATCACACTCACGCCTTTCCTACTATGATCCTATGTTCACTAAAGCAACCTTAAGTCAGTTAGTTTTGGAGGTTAAGATGGAGAATCTACCATTTAGTAATAGAACCAAAATCTTGGTTACTGGGTTTTCAATCAACCACAAATATATTTATGTGGTAAATAATGGAGCTGAAAATAACATGGGTTGTTGTGGGTTGGGTACTCTAGAGAGCAGGTACCAGGATATGTTTTAATCCATGCACTGTTTATTAAAGACGGCCTTTGACATCAGCATCTGTGAAGAGAGAAAGAGTAGCAGTACTGAGCACAAGGAAAAGCTGGGCTACAAGAAGTCCCAATTACAGGAAACTCCAACAGGATAAATTCTACAGTGTTCTCTACAGCACCACACTGAACTAGTTCTAGATGCTTGCTCTAGTTTGATTTCTGATGTGATAAAACCCTCTGACTAAAAGCAGTTTAGGAGAGGAAAAGGTCTATTTGGCTTTTACTTCCAGGTAACAGTCCACCAATGTGAGAAGTTAGGGCAAGGACTCAAGCTGGAACTTGACACAGAAACCACGGAGTAACAAACCTTGGTGACTCATGTTCATGTTGATTAGTCTGCTTATGTAGCATAAGACCATGTGCCTAGGGAATGGTGCTGCCTACAGTGGGTGAATTATCCTATAACAATTAACAATCAAGACGGTCCTGTAAAAACACAGGTCAGTCTGATCTAGGCAATTCCATATTTGAGTCATATTCTTTTCATATGACTGTAGCATGTGCCAAGTTGACAAAGCTAAGACTCCAGAATTTATATTCTTTCATAAATCAGTCATGG